CTACTGTTATTATTAGTAACATTAATAATGTCAATGACCCTACAATGCAATGAAACCCAATTATTAGCAGTTGTATATTATTAGTATACTGACAGTATATTATTAGTATGCTAGCAGTATATTATTAGTATACTGACCTGATACAGATGCTACCGTTATTGCAGATATTTGTATTGTGTTGATTGGTTTATACACAGTATCTCTAAATGTACTGGCTATTGACTCATTAAGAGACCCAGTCTATGAGAGGGAGAGGGAGGGGGAGGGAGAGAGAGGGGGGAGAGGGAGAGAGAGTAGCAGCTGCTAACATTATTAGTGGTTACCTCTTCAACCCACAGTAAAGGCAGGTAGGTTGTATTGATTGGCAAATGAGATAAATCACTAAAAATACAATAAATTACTAATAATAATTTACTAATAAAAATAATAATAGTAACTCCATCTTTATAATAATAATAATAATGATGATGAACGTACGGTATGTCTTCGTATTGTTTGAGTTGGATGTTAATTTGTAACCTTTTGGCAGCATGCAACACAGCACCAGTTATCTATAATAATAATAATAATAATAATAAATGAATCATTAATTATTTATGCAGATGTGTTCTTTCTTACTGGTTCAACGTTAAGGAATGAATCATGTTTGTCCCTGTTGCTAGGGGGACCATTAATATCATTAGTATAATATTCATCAGCATCAAGGAAGTGAGGCTTACTAACAAATATTGGGACATCTAAAAATGATAACAAACCAATCAATACATGTATATACATGGACACGTCCTTCTTACTTAGGGGGAACACAGCAGTGAGATTAAGTACACCATCAGGCCCGTTCATGTAGAATCCTTTATCCTGATAAGCTTTCTGTAGCTCAGTCTGTGGTAGTCTGAACTGATACATCTTTATATCAAATTCAGTGATGTCTTTATAATAGGTAAAGTAGCCAGATCTGAAGAGTTCATCAACATACACATCCAACACATCAGTTCTTGATACTCCAGGATGGAACAGGAGTGCTTCAGTACCATTGATCATCTGGGCATAAGGAGTGCCCCAACCGGTTATACTGGTTTTACCGTCATACATGAGATACTGTGCTGTAGTCTGGGGTGATCCTTTACCAGTGTAGACCATATTAGGACCAGCTGTATCAGTCTGGTGCTATAGTACAATAATAATAACAATAGTAACAGGATGAGTAATGATTGTGTGTCTAATTATAGTAACAGTTATGTTAGTGTGGTACCTCTAACTGGAAGAATCCACCGTTGAGGTCCTTAGTTAAATCAAGAAATGTCACATTTGCTAACAAATCAGCCACAAATTTCAGAAAAGGATCTTCATAGCCCCAGAGTATCTCACTGACTGGTCGTGTCATTATTAGTTTCTCGTTAAAGTCCTTGCTCAATTCAGTTATTATAGTTTCAATTAGATCTTTAACAATAGTATTGATTGGAGGTGGAAAAGTGGCAGACATTTTTATTAGTTTTTCAAACTGGAGGAGAAATCCCTGGGGAAGAGATACAGATAAACCACACCTACTAACCCACCCACCCAGTCCTTACAATAAGTGGCAGGTTAATAGTGGTAATGTTAACATGACTTGGATCAAGTCCATTTGATTTCTCTTTGTTAAAAATATATGAGGTATTTTCAAAATATTCTAAAATGGTCTCATCACTGTTCCATCTCAAATTATACTTCGTCTTTGACTCACTAAAATAACAAAAATAATAACATTACTATCATATTAATACCATCATTATCATCATCATTAATATTAATATTATTGTCACAGGCCGAGCTAGTGTGTCACTGACGTGTACTACAATAAACTCAAACACTTTATACTTTACTACTGCTGCACTATAATCATATCATTATATTGTACTACTGGAGTATACTGGACCTATTGTTGTGGTCTATATCATTGTATTGCACTACTGGACCTGTTGTTGTGGTCTATATCATTGTATTGCACTACTGGACCTATTGTTGTGGTCTATATTGTTATGTAATATTATGCACTCCAGGGCTGGGCTACTGCTGAGCTCATGTCAATCATGTGACACTAATCAACACAATAACACTATCAACTAACACACTAGCACTGCACTACTAGCGGTGCAACCCTCTCTCTCTTACTTGTATACAAATGGCCCTATTTCTTCAATAGTAGCTTTCTCTCCATTTAAAAACTCATCTTTGTTAGTTAAGTTAAACATGTAGAAGGACATGTAGACAGCAGCACCAGGTTTAGACCATTGGTCTGTAGCTGCTGAACCTTTCGTTAACGACACTTGCTGTTTATAAGAAAAATAATAATAATAAACCTTTGATTGTTATTCTCTTACTTTAGCAATAAACTTATCAACTTCTTTTATCATGATA